AGCAGTCAAGAGAATTCTCAGATATCTAAAAAGAACCTCTGATTTAGGACTCTGGTACCCAAAAGGAAGCAACTTTGATTTAGTTGGGTATGTGGATGTTGATTATGCAGGATACTTGGGTGATAGAAAAAGCACTATAGGAATGGCTCACTTTCTAGGATCGTGTCTCATCTCATGGGGATCAAAGAAACAAAACTCAGTTGCACTATCCACTGCTGAGGCTGAGTACGTAGCAGCTGCGTCATGTTGCGCTCAACTTCGATGGATCAAGCAACAACTCAGTGATTTCGGTCTCAAAATTGAACAAGTTCCAATTTTCTGCGATAATACTAGTGCAATCAACATTGCAAAAAATCCGGTACAACATAAGAGAACTAAACACATTGACATTCGTCATCACTTTCTTAGAGACAATGTGGAGAAAGGTTTGATCTCTATGAACTTTTGTACCACGGAAGAACAAATCGCGGACATTTTTACAAAGACATTAGCAAGGGAACACTTTGAAAGGAACAGGCTGGAGCTAGGAATGATGAAAATAAACTAAGAAATTAGAAGCTGAAGGAATCGGACTCTCAAAATCAAAATTGCATGCTTAAAGGTATGTCTACTCTCCTTAACTAAGATAGACTAAAAATTATAAGACCAATGCATTGGATTCCGTTCCTTTATTTAATTAAATGAAAAAAAAATTAAAAAAATCATCATCACAAATCACAACCGCCAATTCAAAACCTACAAAAACCTTTCAAGTGATACCTGTTCCCATTCTTAGATAAAACCCTTACACTTCCCTATAATTCCTCTTAAAACTCAGTTCCCTTCTCTCTTTCTTCTTCGATTGTTCTCATTCTCTCTCAAACCCTTGAAATCCCAGAATCCACACTGTGTTTGTTGAGAAAGAATGGCCATGTCCTCCAATCTCTCACTAGCCATAATTCCCTTTGATACTCAAGAAAGCCTACACGCCCTACCAGCTGTTCTCTACATTGATTTGACCGGCGTAACTCGATGGTCTCTTATGGAAGATGCATTAGTTCAGGGGGAAGAGAGAAGTCAAGGGTTGGAGAAAGAAAATATGAGTGCACGAAGTGAGGGGGAACATATGTTTTCGTCACAGGACTGGGAAAATAGTTCCGATGATGAAAATATCACTTTACTTGAAATGCTTTCCCAAATCAGAACTTGTTCCAAACGAAGTTCATCTTCTTGCAAACCTCTTGCTACGATTCTTCCTGAAACTCCAGAAGAATCTCACTCTGTTCTACCGGCAAAGGTACCAATGCGAGTAACTAGATCTGTACAACGTACTCGAGAAGCAGAGATTTTGGCTCAGTCGACTAAGAAAATTCGCACAAGAAAGCGTAAGTCTCCTTCATCGTTAAACTTTGTAGCAAATACAGTGAATATTCAGAAACGGAAAAAAATTTCATCAAAATTTCATGATTTGGATGATAGTGATTACCATGCAAGAGTATTAGCCTTTAAGAAGAGGAGTGTGATTAGGGGGAGAGTAATTTCTGGTTTTGGGGGTGGTGAGATGGATGAGTTAGTACTCATCTTACAAGAACAAGGATGGACAGAACTGATGCTTCAAGGATCCTTTAGGTGTAAACTGGGTAGAGTAGAAACCAGAGAATTTTATATCAATGCAACAGGAACTGCGTCGTCAATTACTAGTACTGTGTGTGGTATTTCTTTTACACTTACTGCTGAGACTCTGTCTACAATACTTAGGATACCTAACAGGGGATGGGGTCACTATGTCAAGAAGGATTGGCCTCCTTTAGAGGGTGACACCTCTCAACTTGACATATGTAGGCGATTCTCAAATGATCCTACTCTATTTGAATACTCTAGTGTTGACAAGGGATGTATGTTACCTTTACATCAGATGTTGTTTAATGTAGTTCACAAAATTCTTCTGCCAAGAAAGCAAAAAAGGACTGAAGCATGTTACTTGGATCTTACTCTTATGGACTTACTATTGTCTAGGACTCAAATAAACTTGCCGATCCTAATAATGAGTCATATACATAGTTTGTCCAAGCTTGATAAAAAGAAAAGGGGTTTGGCTTATGGATTTTGGTTGGGACAAGTATTTGAACATTTTGGTGTGCCTGTAAAGAAGTGGCAGATTCAAACCATTTCTGATGTCATGGGGAAGGTGGACTACATGAACATGCCTGGTACGCCTAAAAGGGTTGATGTGAAAACTCAACGGTTGAGGGCTTCTCTTACTGCTGTAGAAAAGGAGATGGAAGCATTAAAAAGGGCTCATTCAGTAGAAATGGAACAGGTTCAGATTGCTCATAAATTGGAACGTGAGGAATTGATTGCTGAGAATTGCAGGATTAAGGAAGAACTCACTCAAACTCAGGCTGCGTTACATCAAGAAAGAGAAGTGAATTCTGGGCATCTACAAAGTATCATGGGGTTGCTAACACAGGGATCTTCAAACTCTTCCACCTCTATGGCACCCTCTGTTTAATCAATCCTCATATATGCATTATCTTATAATTTTTTGTTTTTGACTAGTTAAAGACTGAAGTAGACATTACTTATTTTGTATGTATTTTGGTTTGATGTCTAACTCTTGATGTCACTAATGGCTTTGTCTGATTCTCTATTTTAGTATGCATATGTACTTTGGTTTTCAATTTTTGGCTAATGGCAAAAGGGGGAAGCAGCCTGCAGATTGCAGATGTGCAGATGATATGAAAGTGTTCTATATGTTGATTGATGTATTGTGTACCTATTCAAATGCAAGCTGATTATTTGCCATAGTCAAAAAGGGGGAATTTGTTAATCTTGAGATTTTGAAAATGGTAAAATAGTATTGAACAGGTAACGCAACATGTTCCAGTGAAACTATGCAGCAGGTGTGTTAGTGGCGGCAAAGAGGCGGCGTACCAGTAGTGTTTAGTTATAGATGGTAACTTATATGTACGTTTTGTTTGGAGTAGTCTACTTGGTTAAGGAAAACTACTAAAAACAAATTTGAGTACAATAAGGTTTTGAGTAAAAGAGTTAGTAGAAGTCAACAAGGATTTGTAGAAGACAAATACAAGTCGATTTGTACAAGGATTGGCTGAATTTTTGGTCTATAAATAGAGAGCTATTTTGATCAGAAAAACTTGCGCACTTACAAAGAGAGAACTTGAAAACACGACCAAGAGGGTTGAGAGAGTTTTGTTAAAATCTTTTGAGTGCTGCGAGTTGAGTGATAAAGTTGTAAAGATTGTATTCAAGAGTCTTGTTTACAATCTAGGTAGTAGAAAAGCATTGAGAAGATAGAAAACTAGGGAGTAGTTTTTTGTCTTTGAGTAGAAGGAATTAGAGTTTATAATTCCTTGAGAGCTTAAGCGTTGTAATCTTTGTATTACTTGAAAATTACAAATAATACAAAGTGCTGTTCAAATTAATTACTGTTAAAGTTTTTCAAGCAGCCACAAACTAGTTGTTAGTACGTGTTCTTTGAAGAATTCAGGAGGGTAGAATTCCAACATTATATTTTTCTTTCAATGAAGTGTCGTATGCAATAGATATGTCACGGTTATGCAGAAGAAGAGTAGAGATGTTCGGCAGATACTTATCCAAGAAAAACATGTACTCCCTTCTTTTAAAAAATTATTTCTCTGTTTCCATTTTAGTTTGTTTCAAAAAGAATTATCCTTTTCTATTTTTGGTAACACTTTAACTTTTAACTTTCCACGTGACATGTTTAAGACCGCAAGACTAAATGACATTTTGGTACATTTGACATAACTTTAGTTTATAACCACAAGATTAAAAAGTTTCTTTCTTATCTTAAACTCCGTTCCAAGTCGAGCTAGGCCAATCTTTTTGAAACGGAGGGAGTATTTTATTATCACTGGCTGATGTACATCATAATGTAGAATAGCATGAACTTTTTCTGCTTTTTGATGAGATTGTGGAGAGAGAGGTGTTAATAATTTTAATAGATAGTGGCCAGTGATGTGAGTGCAAACTTAAAGATACAGTTTCTGATCCCAATAGAGACAATACATATTAGGTGGTTTTATTTCATCTACCTAAGCTTTGGTGGACAGAGTTGTTCAGTACCTAGTGCTAGTGATTGTAGGTATTCAATAAAATAGTCGAGTTGCAGGGAAACTTGCCCAAACACCACATCATAAAGTAGTTTTACCAGATATATCATTCTTGAAAGGGCATATTAAATTGTTCTCCACGTACATTTTAGAAGATTTAGAGATACTGGTCAAAGACATACCTACCTGAACTATCACGTTTTTGCGAGTTTCACACCCCAACTATTAATATAGATGGTGATGGTTATGGTGATAGGTTAGATAGGAAAAGAATACAACAGATAATTGGGATGTGAAATTCGTGAATAAAGTGATAGTTCAGGTGTGTTATCAACCAATATGCCACCTAATAAGTAAGAAATTGAAGCACCCAAAAGTATTATCTAGTAGTCAATTAAGTGGATTAAGAACCATACGGTCTGAGATTCAAATCCCAAGAGATTATTGACAAAGAAAAAGAAGGCTTGGAAAGGGATCAAGCATATTGAGGAGGAGCTTTATAATGTTGGTTAATAAAGGCCTATTCCAAGAGGTCTGAGAAAGATTGCTTACACAACCACTAATGATCTCTTCCCTTCTGTACAAGCCTGGTTGTTAGAGTTACATGGTACCTCTTTATGGTTGGAGGTAGCAGGTATCCAGTGGAATTAGTCAAGGTGTAGACAAGCTGGCCCGAACACCATGGTTATCTGGAAAAAAAATAGAAGAAAAAAAGTAAGAAACTAAGGCCAGTATTAAATTAGTAGAATAGGAATCAGCAATCTAAGTTCAATTTCACAGTCCAACTCGATCTCGTGGTTTCAAAACCGATCAACTGATACACCTTTGTCGAACATACATCTTAACACCAAAAGATTAATTCTGATCCATGACAAGTCTTACACGATTTGAGTGTTTATGCATTGCTTTTATTTTCTTTTCTTGAAGGTTTTGAAGAATGTTGAATGGCCAGAACAATTTCCTTTCAAGGATGAAGATTTCCAGCGGTTTGATGAGTATAATCTATTGAACTTTTGCTTCTTTTTGTCTGTGTCTTTACTGTTCATATTTTATTGAGGGAAGAACACGCACGGTGAACACAGAAGTCTGAAATTGGTTGCTTGGCACCATTCATTTTATTACTTTTCATCTGGAAAAAACATTTGCAATACTAAAATAATTTCAAAAAAATTTGTCTAATTCCTAATGATGCATGATGCTGATCATTTTTCTGGTTTCAATTTATCTCTTACCAACTGTTTTGTGCTTTCACTAATTATGATGTTCTTTGATAGTCATGCCCTATTGTCAAATATTGGTCAGGATTGATAAAATCAACTTTTAGGAAACAGAATTATGTTATAATTCCAGATTATCTTTGTTCTTCAAAGCCATAGAACTGAGGCTGAGAATTGATTGGATTTCATCTTTGGATTGAGTTGATTTTCAGATCATCAGATACATTATTCTATGAAATGCCGCGTTTCGTGACACATATTGATGATCAAGCTATTGCTGCACTTACCAAGTATTACTCAGAGGTCTTGCCTTCCAGTAACACTCCAGGAGTAGCAGTACTTGATATGTGCAGCAGTTGGGTAAGGTTTCTTCTGCATGGAAATATCTCCTTTTCTTAACATGTTTACATGATCATAAACTGTTCTTTTTCCATATCTAGGTCAGTCATTACCCTGCTGGATTCAAGCAAGAAAGGATAGTTGGAATGGGTATGAATGAAGAAGAGCTTAAACGAAATGCAGTAAGATCTAAAAAGTGCCTTCAAGTCTTAACCTCTTATGCACTATTTTCTATTTTAATAAAACCCGTGTCGACCATTTGAGAATATCCTACCTCGTCCTTTTACGGGATGAGGAGGAACTCACTCTTATCTTCTTTAATTAACATGTCATGTCCATTTGAAACACCATATCCACACACACGCACAAAAAAAAGAGAGGGAGAGGAGACTTCCGACAACTACGTATCCCACAAGTGGAATCTGGGGGATTGAAAGAGGAGTTTCTTTCCCTTCAAATTGTTGTCCGCAGTAATTAAAAGTGGTGGCCACTTGGGTGTGGGAGATTTTTTTCCTTTGTCTGATCATGATCAAGAAGTGCACACTTGCTTGTTTGATGTCTCTCTGCAGGTTCTAACAGAGTATGTAGTTCAAGACTTGAACGATAATCCTAAGCTCCCATTTGGAGACAATACTTTTGATGTTATAACCAATGTGGTATGTACATCTTTTTCTCATTCATATCTGGCCATTGAATGAATGCTCATCTTTTCTGCATCCTATGTGGACAGGCTTACACATGCTTATTGATGCTGTTCATTGTACTTTAAAGTTATGTTCTTGCATCATTAGCTTTTCGGGGATTTCTTCTATATGAATTGGATGATCCATGTATGGTTTATTGGTTGATATTTAATGAAACAGCTCTTTGACTGGACTTCATTGAAATAGCCTTTTAAGTTGATGTTGAGGACTGTCTCTTCATTTATGGTTGAAATCCACAAGTTCAATTGTTTCTTTTATCTCGTAAGGCTGTGACTATGTCTGATACATCTATAAAATCAGTTGTGGTCTTAAGTAAGTTGCATAGGATCAGAAAGTAATTTGTGCCACGGTTAACAAGAAACTAGAAAGTATGACTTACCATTTAGTCCTTATTTGCTGACAATAATTTCTAATGTTTTGATCTCCTTTTACTCGATTCTCAATGATAGAAGAAACTTGAAGAATTATTCTTTTGCGTGAAAAAATGGAAGTATTTAAATAAAACAGCAAAGCTTCTCTTTCTCCGAAATAGAAAAATCCAGCTTTTGATATCACTGTTGAAACTTGGAAACAACTCACTTTTGATTTTTTACCGGAAAACCTGTCAATTTGATTAACCATAGTATTTGTAGAAAAGGATTAAAGGCAAGTCAACTAAGGTCATCAAGTTCATTTACTTTAGACTGAAAGATCAAGGTGATGGATTAATAAAAGAATGTAATAACTAATATGCTACAAGGAAAAAGGGAATTCAAGTGAGGGGTGAATTTAGAGCCTTTACCCAAGGAAAAACTAAGATAAGAATGTAAAAAGACTAGTGTATCGCTCTCCTAGATTTTCGATGCCTTCTATTCTTCTAAGAGTCCTCTTTTATTGGCCATAAAAGTTGAACCGTCGCGTCAATATGAAACGACTGCATACTCAGCTCTGAAAAGGCTACCTAGTAGCACGTCCCTACTCTGTGGCACTTCACCTGGAATGATTAGGGGAAGGTTGTCCCACAACTCGAGATTAATTGTTAATTCCACCCAAGAGTCATTACAAGGGTACCCAACTTAAGATGGCCTTCCCCGGGGAAAGGTCTTGCAAGAATTCCAGTCATGGGGCAACTTTATATGATCAGATGTCAACACCCCAGGTCGCACCGGGAACAGTCTCTCCCAAATTCCTTGGGTTGTACCAAGCATTTCTTCGGTCTTGATTTTACCACGTGTAACAGCCTGGTTTGTCAGATGTTAGTTTTTCCCCCTACAGATAGCCCCCAAATTACAGATACTTAATGCAATGTATCCAGGAAGTGGAATTTTCTGTGTTGTCTTCGGGGCTGAGGATGATTGATTTCTAGGGCATATAATGGGGCGTTTGTTTCATTGCATCTCATACCTCTTTATCGCTTGGGTCATCACAGACATTGGATTTTAAAGCCATTCTGAATACCTTTTGACAAAGCATCCTGTGGTTGTTGCCTTGTTAAAAAGCTTACCAGAAAAAACTCCTCCAGGAAAAAAGACCTTATCCAAGGAAAAGAGTGCAACATACGCCTTTTGGCTTCCTCGAGAATTTGGCTACTATAGAATCAATGATCAACAGCCTGTCATTGTACGCTATCTTACTAAGTCTTTTATTCTAATGTGCTTCCGGTTGTCTCATATCTTTTGGTGTCCTTGCTCGTTCCTATATTAACAACTTCTTAGAAATGGTTAGCCAAAATTTAAAGGGGTTTTATTTGATCACGCGGGAGCATGTGATCCTGTCTAGTCAGTGAATGAAGGTGAGCCTCTTCACTGCTCATAAAGTGATATTTGTTTCCTTATAACTGATGGAGATTTCCCCGTGGACTTTTAGCCTGCCTATCAAAGTCTTGGTTGTTGATCTGGTGAGGCCCTACCCAGAGTTGTCCCGGATGCGTTTGAATTTGTGTCTGTCTTGGCAAACAGGGAAAAAAACCTCTATTTGTTTGAGAGCGTTGGGGGTTAGTGCCCGACTTCTTTTTTAAAGGAGAATACTTTACCATAAGGGTCAACGTCTCAAACCTATTCAAAACTAAATTCATAGAAGAGTAATATGGGGGAGGATCAGCTGAATCGCATGAGAGAATACTTAACCATAAAGATCACCCGCCTTTCATCCTTGTTTGGGTTTATGTTTTTGATTAACTTGTTGGCAAGAGTACTCCTGGATTAGAAGGATGATCCCTTGGCAGGTCGCAAAAGACTCATTTCATTCCATGGCCTTCTTCCTTGGGGTCGAGTTCTTGACTAAAATTCGAGTGTGCGACATCAGCCACAAATTATTCTTGGGAAATGACCATCTGGTACACAAGGACGAAACATAGGGGGAAACCCATTTCTTCGTAAAGTAGATCCCTTTATTTTGTTTAGGTTCTGTTGAGGAGGACGTCTTGACTCCATTTTTAGGCATAAGGTTTCTTGGGATCTTTTTACAATATGAGCCCAGAGGCTGCATCATTTGGCGGGAGCTTTCACGATTTGAGTATGTAGTCTATATCATTTGGCGATTGAGTTCAACATCGTGGGTGGGAGCTTTCTCAATTTGAGTTCGGAGAATGCATCGTGCAAGTTAGGGGATGCCAACTCATTTAAGTCTAGGAACTTGTTAAGCAACTAAGACAGGTCAGAGGATCCAGGAAAAATGCATGACATTTATTTTATTTATAAAAGAGGGGCAAAAAGAGCCCTAAGCGATACATGGAGTGGGATGAACAACCCTAGTGATACATGGAGTAGGGCAAACGAGTCATACCTGCTGAACATCAGTTGAATAATTGTGGAGTCAGTCCTCAAAACCTAGGCGCGTGGGACGTGTATCCGAATGCCTGAGTCCTTCCACGATCCTTCTAGCTTCTAGTTTCAGTGGGTGTTCATGATGATATTCTTTCTGCTTCGTCTAGTCTGACACTGGTTGAAACATTTGTTGGGGCAGTCTCAGTCCATTGGCATAGTCACAGTATCATGTGCTTAGTTCCTTTTGTTCCTAGCTTCTGCAAAGTCACAGGGGGGAAGGTTTATTTGATCCCAGATCATGCTCTTGTGATTAATTGTTGCCTTCATCATAAGAACTACCGGTGTCTGAAATTACTGAGATGAATAACTGGTCTGCCTTAACATAGCTAGGAGGAATACCAGTGCGCATCCTTCATCTCTTTCTCTTAGTTCCTTGACTTAAACTCTTTACCATCTTGACTCAGCATTTTCTGAGTAGGAACAACTGTTGTTCCGTTGTTCCGGGTAGCTTGACATTTACTTCGTCTAAGAACCGGTCCTCTCCTTGATATGCTGGTGACCTGACAAGGACCTTCGTGAATCGGTCCTTGGTCAGAGTATTTGTCAACCTCGGTCTCCGTATTTGAGTACCTTAGTGACAACGTTTGAAAGGCTGGTGCATCATTCGTATGTCATAAAGCCGGTATTGGTTACCCTTTACTTCGACATATGCATCGTCACATCTGAGTAGAGTACAGTTAGACCAGGTAGTTGACACAGTTGTACTCTCTCCAAGTGACATGACTATTCCTGTCAGGGAGGTCCGAGAGGCTCTTGGCATTTGTCGTCTCCTACCGTCAACTTCTACCTAAGTGTTATCACTAATCCTTAGGGGTAAGGCCTCAGCTTGATCCCAGTGGACTGTTTTGCAAGAGGTTTCAAATATTTCCGACACTCCTCCCGGTTAGTTCAGGTAAGGGACAATGGAGATGAGGCTCTCCCTCAATACACAACCATGGGTACTTTCTAACTCTCCTTTGTCTTTAAAGTTACCGAGGTTAATTTCCTCATCTGGTTTGTTTTTAGGGAGAGATCCAGGTTGATCTCTCGTTCTCTTTCTCCTTCTCGCTCTCTTTCTCATCCTCGTCCTTGAGGATGTTCTAGCCCTTACATGTCCATAGATTCCATTGGTTTCAGAAAATTCATTGGCAAAGGGATATCTCGTTGAGAAAACAATCCATTGAAGTCTGTGGCATTATGTTCCAAATATGGTTGCATTTTTCAGTCAATAGGCCTTGACCATTCAGAAAGGAGTTAAAAGAATATATCGAAATAACACCACAGTTGTGGAGAAAGGTGGCCTTTCGCGGGGAATGGCCTTGACAATTTAGCCATAAGATGGCCTTCCGCAAAGAAAAGTTCTTTAGGAATCATCATTATCAAAAAAGAGTCATGTAGGTATCATGGTCACGGGAAAACTTTATATGATCAGATGTTGTCAACACCTCAGGTCACACCGGTCCCGGACCGTCCCAATTTCCCAGTAGTAACAAGTATTTCTTGTCTCGATTTTACCATGTTCTACACCTGGTTCGTTCATTTTCCAGATATGAGCTTTTCCCTCATACAATGATGACATTTTTCGAATTCAAAATGGGATCACATAGGCCAATGGTCTTTCTAGAAACATCCAGCTTCAAATCCATAGTAGTCCGTCAGGGACAAATTGCACTCATTTTCAGGGATTCACTCACTCAATTACATCCATCAATTTGCTTTATCTGTGTGTAATAGGTTATACAATTATAGAACAAGGACTAGTTCCTTTCTCCTCTACCAAACCATCTCCAAAATAATAGAGGCTGTAAAAGAAAAACAGAAAACAAGAACTTCTGTCAAAAGGCAAGGCAATATATGTACTGAAACAGAAGACATCCATAACTTCAATATTTAAGCATATTACTGTGTGTGAAACTTGACCATTAGTTCTTCTATCCAATTGAACTAGGATACTTGTCAATCACATTCATCCTTAGATTTTATGGCTTTCATGGAGGTTTGAAACCGAAACCTTCCCTATGGTTCTTCCTTCAGTACAAAACCATCTAGGCTATGTGCATTGTTTGTTTAAGGAGTGTCACTTTCAATATAAAAACGTTATATCTGATTTTGTTTTTTAATTGTATATACCTATTTAGTACAGTTTTCTGAAGAAAAGTGTCACGTGACACCCCTTCCACCTTCCTAAATCCGCCCTTGCGGCTGCGATAAGTTATAGACAACCGTTAGGATGACTCAGCATCACGTCATGTACTTCAAATCTTAAGTTTGCATCACTCTCATAAATGTATCATTGCTTGCAAGTTAGTTCTGGCAAATTTTTTTTAAAGCAAATGAACTTTGATTCTCTTTGCAGGTTAGTGTAGATTATTTAACGAAGCCTCTTGATGTTTTCAAAGAAATGTCGCGTGTACTGAAACATGGTGGACTTGCAATTATGAGGTAAATAATGACACTATAAAGTGTAAATTTTTATTATGTCAGACTAATACAAATCCAGAAAGTCTTTTGGCTTGGTTCCAGCAACCTTTTTCTTCTTATATATATGTCTAAACTTTAATAAGTAGCTTCCAGTGTTAATTTTAAATTATAAGGCTTGAAAACAATGTTTCTTCTTGGACTCTGCCTGTATACCAGTTTCTCGAACCGCTGCTTTTGGACAAAGGCTATCTCGATATGGACATCAACTGGAGATGCGGATCATGTTATGATAGTTGGGTCTTATTTCCATTATGCTGGTGGATTTGAACCTCCACAGGTAACTTGTAGGTTCTCGAGCATTTTGTCATCTTCAACAAATTCGATTTCTCTTCAATCAATATGCTAGACTTATTTGGTTGTCAGCATAAATTGTACTCCATTGAAGTAGTAGAGTTTTGTCTTTCAGAAAACTCAAGTTCTTTTGACCTTGCTTGTGTATAGGCTGTGGATATATCTCCTAATACTGGACGCTCAGACCCCATGTATATAGTCTATTCCAGGAAGATAGCGACAGCCTGAAATTCAACGCTCGTTCAGCTAGATAACATTTTCCTTCCTGAAATGTGATCACCATCCCGTTTTAACTTATCATAACTTGATGGAGTTGTGTATATTTTAACTTGACGACAAGTTTTGAGGAAAGAAACAAGTCCAGCATCACACATCACCTAATTCAAGATGCCATCTAGTTTTAACAATTATAACTTCATTAAGGGTGTGTTTTGAATGAGAGAAATATTTTTCAATTTTTTTATGTTTGGTTAGTTAAAATATTTTTCAAATCAACTCATTTTCTCAAATTTAAAGAGAATTACTTCTCTACAAAATTTAAGGAAAATATTTTTCAAAATTCTCTTCCAACTTCATATTATAATTTCTTTTTTGTTGAAAAAATAAATCTGAAGTTTATTTTTAAAATAGGGATGAAGGCCTGAAAATTACCTCAACTTTGATTGAATTTGTTGTTGTGATACTAAACTTTCATGAGTACCTGTTACCTCTCTAGACTATTTAATAAGATATTTTTAACATATGTATTTGCCCACATGGACATAAAAATAATGGAAAATTATTAATAGTAAATGTGTCAACCTGAACACATATATACCTTTAAAATACACTATTAAATAGTTTCAGACGAGAATAGGTCCTGATCAAAGTTTAGTATCGCAACAGGGAATTCGATCAAAGTTGGGATATTTTTTAGATCCTTATTTTCAATGTTAATTTTAACATACACAAACATCGAAAAAAATTATAGTTTGTTTTTAGATTCAAATTTTTTATTTTTTCACCCCATACCACTCCTACCCGTGACCCTCTACCACTCTCCAAAAAAAATTAAATTTGTTTTAAAAAAATATATTCAGTTTCAGTTTCAATAATTCTTTTCTACTCTCTAGTAAAAATAAAAGATATTTTCTCAAAAGTATTTGCTACGCACCAATCATACATGAGAAAATAAATTAAAAATTTACTTATTTTCTAGAAAAATATTTTTTCTGGAAAACATTTTCCTTCGTACCAAACACACCATGAATGTCTTAAATAGTCATGGTTAGGAGTGGCAAACGAATGAGTTGATAAAAAATGAGTTAAATAAAAATGCTAGTTGAACTAATTGCCATTTTTATTTTTTCACCCCACACCAAATATAACAATATTTTTTAATTTTATTTTGAAAGTCACACACCATTATTCTTAGAGACGCTTATATAAAAAAATTTAACTCCGATATTGCTTGAGCCTACATATTTCTAGAGGCAAATAATTGTAAAGGGTGGTAGGAAGTCATAGCCATTGATATAGATGTTATGCTTGTTGGGATTGTAGCAGATATTAATGGTAAATAGAAAGAAGATGAAAAGAGAGGAACTTGAAAAGTTGAGAATTTAAAAAGTCCTTTTATGCTTTAGTGAAAAGGCATGTCCCTCATCGGTGATAAAAAGAAAAATAGGAGAGATTAATTATAAAAACACTGATATTAATTGTTAAAAGGGTTGGAAAGAGGTACACCCCTCGCGTCGTCATCGCTCGGCTTCGGCTTTGGCTTTGAAAAATGATCCATCGAGAGATTATTTTTTGGACAAAGTTTGTCTTAATTATTTAATTAATTAATTAAATTAAATTAAATGACCAAAACGTTTTTAATTAATTAGTTGATAACAGAAACGTTTTCAATTATTTAGTTGAGATTAATCAAAATTTAGTTGATTAACCCGATCCGACTCGGATCAGCGCGATCCGTTTTATTTAAATCTTTCCCCTTTTTATTTGAATTTCCCACCGTTTGAAAATGTTGAAGGGTTGCAACTATCAAGAACAACCAGAACCATTTGAAAGGTTGCAAACTTTCATTAATGGTCTTGTGGATTCTGAAAGGATTGCAACCTTTTAGAACATGTTTCTCTTGCCTATAAATACCATTTATTCTTCAGAATTTTTCCTTACAAAATTTTCTGATTTCTTCTTCTTCTTCTTCTGCACAAAAAGTTTCTTCTTGTATTTTACTGATGTTGAGTGATTCGCTCACACCAGAGTTTTGGGTATCAATACACTGGTGATTGCAATCATTTTATCCTGGGAGGATATATTTCAAATCAAACCTCAGAAACTAGAGGGGAATAATTTCCTTAAGGGGACACTGTGCATTTAGTGGGTTTGATCTTTTTTTGTTCTAAGTTTTCAGATTTTGGTACGTTTATAATTTTTAGTTTTGCCTAAGTTAATTTGTATTCGTTTTTCTTACTTGTTCAATAAATTTTGATTACTTCGTATTTCTACAAAATTTGTTGGAATAAAAAATTATGTTTTTTCAAACATAGATTTACAACAATGCTTAGTATGATTCTTGGTCCTTACTTTTATATAATTCCTTTATGAATGTTTTAGGATGAAATTCGATATTTGACATAAAAAGAATCTCATATGCAAGCATACAACATTACAAATTGAGAAAATTTCAAAACAATAATATTTTTAACATTTAATCGGGTCTTATAGCAGAACTTTTAATATTTATTAAAGATGTTAATATTTTAATTTGTTATATTGTTGATTTTTGTATTTTTATCATTTGTTTAATTTGAAAAAAATACAATTAGTTATTAACAGAATGGAGAAAATCATTAGTAGTAAACACAAGGAAAAACATAAGAAAAGAGTAATCATAACTTTTACTATACGGCACGACATAGGAGTAGAAAAAAAAGGATTCTTGATTCCTAGAACTACTTTCATAATCTATGCTTTGATACCAGACTTGTCACATTCCGAAATCACACCCTAGAAGATAGGGTCAATCTCGGATTGCAACCGGCGTACTTAACCTCTCGGAGGTCTTCTACAAGCCCTTACATATCATTCATCACATAAACATAGTGAAAAGTAGTGAGGAATTATAACTTTTCACAAAACATTTCATAGTGTTTAAAAACTCTTTCATATAAAGCAATAGGAAATAATAAGCCTCAATCTCACTATTATCTATTTTGCATAGTTCAGTGAATTTTTTTTACCCTTTTCCATTTGAAATATTTATTTCCTTGATTTTCTCCATTCTGTTAATAACTAATTATATTTTTTTCAAATTAAACAACTGACAAAAATACAAAAATCAACAATATAACAAATTGAAATATTAACATCTTTAATAAATATTAAAAGTTCTGCTATAAGACCCGATTAAATGTTTCATAAAGGAATTATATAAAAGTAAGGACAAAGAATCATACTAAACATTGTTGTAAATCTATGTTTGAAAAAACATAATTTTTTATTCCAACAAATTTTGTAGAAATACGAAGTAATCAAAATTTATTAAACGAGTAAGAACGACGAAGAGAAATTAACTTAGGCAAAACTAAAATCTGTAAACGTACCAGAATATGATAACTTAGAACATAAAAAGATCAAGTCCACTGAATACACAGTGTCCCCTTAAGGAAATTATTCCCGTTTAGTTTTCCAGGTTTGATTTGGATTTTGTACTCTCAGGATAAAATGATCGCAATCACTAGCGTATTGATACCCAAAGCTCTAGCGTCAGCGAACCATTCGACAACAGTAAAGTACACGAAGAAACTTTTTGTGCATAAGAAGAATAAGAAATCAAAAAAAATTGTAAGGAAAAATTCTGAAGAATAAATGGTATTTATTGGCAGGAGGAACATGTTCAGAAAGGTTGCAACCCTTTCAGAATAACAGGACCATTGATGAAAGTTTGCAACCTTTCAAACAAATTTGGTTGATCCTGAAAGTTGCAACCTTTCAAAAGAGACATTTCCAAACGGTGGGAAATTAAAAAAAAAAGAAGAAAGATTTAGATAAAACGGTTCGCGCGAATCCGAGTCGGTTCGGATAATCAACTAAAATATTGAAACATTTATGATTAATCTCAATTAAATAATTGAAAACATTTTTGTTATCAACTAGTTAATTAAAAACATCTTGGTCATTTAATTTAATTAATTAATTAAGGTAAATTTTTTCCAAAAAATAATACCTCGGTTGATCATTTTTCAAAGCCAAAGTCAAAGCCGAAGCTGAGCGATGACGACGCAAGGGGGCCCCTCTTTCCGATCCTTTTAAAAATTAATAGGAGTGTTTTTATATTTAGTTTCTCCTATTTTTCTTTCCACCGCCGATGAGGGACATGCATTTTCACTAAAGCATACGAGGGCTTTCTAAGTTTCCAACCTTTCAAATTCCTCTCTTTTAATCTTCTTTCCATTTCTCATTAATTGTTGCTACATACCCATCAAGAATAACATCCATATCAATGGCTATGCCTGCCTGCCACTCTTTACAATTATTTGCCTCTAGACAAACGTAGGCTGAAGCAATGACAGAGTGAAAATTTTTATTAAGCGTGTCTAAGAACTTTCATGATCCAAATCGAGTTATGAGTGGCACCCACACTTAATCTCCTAAGTGGGAGAACACCAGAGGGGGAGCCAGAAATTTCTTAAAGGGTGTCCACAAATAGCAACGTATTATGTTAAGGGTGTCCAAAATAAATTATTTAATAAAGGGTGTCCACTGAGAGAACCAACAAATTTAACCGCAACTTACACTATAAAAATATAATGCGGAAGCTTAAAATCTTATTAAATAGTGTTTCCAAAAACCTGAAAGTCATCACATCATGGACATCAAATATTCAAATACTAAGCCTAAGAGTACCAAATACACCAAACTGAGTCAAATAAATTGTTTATGTTCGAAATCTAAGTACATCATGTCATGACGAGAGAATCCAACGCGGGTTAGAATAAATCGCTCATCCCGAAACCTGATTTGTTGGAGATTGGCTAGAGCTGAGGTCGCTAGTACACTCTCTGCACTTCATAAAAGTAAAACAAAGAAAAAGACAAATAGGTCTTAGTACGGAGCAACATGTACTGAGTAGGTATCATCGGCTAACCCAAAATAGAAACTAATATACATTGAATAATAATATAAAATCAACAATGACATTTAACATGTGACAAGAAACGAACAAAATGAACCAGTGACAACAACACAAAAGTAAGTATGCAATCAATCAGACATATAAGGACTCATGCCTCCAGACCACGCTCATTTGGGAGATGGGTTCTTTGAGATTGACTATATTAAGTTAATTCAAGAACTTTTCCCTTTAACGTTACCGTATCAGAACATGACACTCCGATCCAATTATACCGTGTCGGAATGTGACACTCCAATTCAAGAATACCGTATCAGAACGTGACACTCCGATCCAATA